ATGTAAGCACAAATATGAGGAAACCAACCGAAATGAAACAATAAGGGAACACTTGAGAAATGCTCCAAAATGTTCTTGGAAGTGCATTTCTTCCACCACAGAAATCTCCTTTTTTTAAATAGGATACGTATAATGGGAACTGTTTGATTTACTGCAATAATTACTCTTACTTTGCTCTGAAACTTCAGTGATTTTAATTTTTAATTTAAATTCCCCCAACCTCCCCTTTCCTCATCCAGGCACAAGCAGGGTACACCTCAAGAAGAAGAACAAGTGACTAAAGTCAGCTGTAACCTCTGTGTACCCAGAAATATGATTAATCTCTAACACAATAACACGGTACCTTTTCACGAGCAAACATAGCATGCAGTAAGGAGTTGGGGGCGAGGTGCAGGGGAGGAAAGAGATTTTCTTACCTTTACATCTGAGAAGTAGGTTTTCAGCATATTGGAACTTGGGTACCGGGTGTAAAAGAACATAAGCTTGGCCTTTTTCAAGTGATTCGGTGACAAGCCTTCCTGCATGTAGGATTGAATTAGTAAAGGAAAATGCTGTTCTTGAGAAAGCTCGTTCTGAACGCACAGGGCTAGCAAAGTGCCCCCTTCAACAGTCTACAGTTCCCCAGACTACAGGAGAAAAAATATTAACATTTAAATTGCTGCACTGTCACTTTCTGCAAAACAGCTGACCGAGGCCACGTAACTCAAACCCTGTTATTCCCTATCAGCTTTGGTGCTGGGTCTCGGGAATCTTGCAAGTTTACGGCTTGTGTACCATATGTATGTTCACTTGTTGCTAAGGAAACAAATGCACGAAGCATGTGCCGCGGAAAACTTATCGGAAGCTTTTTCTCCCTCTCCTTCGCCATTCCAGCTAAAGTTTCCCTCTCTCCCAGCGCGGTACCACTCTCACGAAACAAAGCCAACGCGTGCGAGGCAGTCGGAGGCCCTCCATCATTTTGAGCAATGTTTTATGCGGGTGGTGCGTCTCACCTGTTCCATTCGCGGCGATAAATTTTAACATCTTGAGTAAACACCCCATGTTGCTTTGCTCCAGTGGCTGCCTTGCAAATCAAAGCGAGATTTGTAACAGGCAGAGCCCCTCCGCTGTTCAATCCCCCCGCCACAAACTTGTCGCCTCCTGATTTACACAGTTAACTCCTCGGAGAATGAAGCTGTATTTGGGGCTAACCAATCGATACGTGTGGGCTAGCAGATCAATAAATGGCCACTTACCCTATAAGGCAGCCTATTTATCCTGGAAACATCATTACCTTTTAGATCTGTAAACAGAAGCAACTCAAAGAGTTCCCAAGGGAATGTGAAGCTAACCATAACAATCTCGGCTTGCTGATTTTTCTCCCAGCTTCTTGGCTCCCTTTTGTGTACTGCGTGCTAGGACGGCTCTGGTCACATCTGTGCCGCAGGCTGGCCCTGCCATTTCCTCAGCAAATTAATGGCTTTATAATTTATCAGAAATGAAGATGCACGTGGAGAAAATCAATGTGGCCCCCACAAGGTCAATTAAGGGTTCTTCCCAGAAGCTTCTCTAAGGACTGTTTCTCCTCAACACAACTGTTGAAAATTCCATCCGGTTCACACCTTACGGTGGGGGAAGGTCAACCAAGTTGACAGATACTCTGCAGCCAAGGTGCCTCCTCCACCTTACGGCCAGGCGCCCGTCAGCACGGAACAGCTCATTCCGGGCATCGAGACGGGAAGCCCAGACTCATTTTTATCAGCAGGCTACTGATGATTAGCTAGGCTTTTTCAGCTAGAATTGTTCTTCTCTAATTTGTGAAATCTGCCGGAACCCTCTGCCTTTATTTCAGTTATGATGTTCGTTTGCAGATTGGAAAAATGTAGCAATAAAAAAAAAAAAAAAAAAATAGTTGACAATATTAGTTTAAAAACCTCTTATTATGTGGAAGTACACAGAAAACAGCTCAGCTGAACTTGCATTTTGTTTTAGATGCTTAATGATTACAAAGAAGATAATTTATGACTGACATACTTCTTGTGCCAAGAGAAGAGTTGAAAGAACCTCCAGTTACCTCCATTAGACTGATAGAGAAGTCTAAAAGAGCATTACACTCTGCAGTGCCATCTGTCAAAATACGTAAGTGAAATAATAGTAGCAAGCTGTCACCTATTGCTTAGTGATAAGAGTTTTAGACAAATCAAAACTTCTATGCCAGAAATCCATTTTGCTACGCGACCCTTTCAGGAAAGTGAGGGTCCGAAGGGGAACTCCAATAAGGAAAAGAAAAAAGCAAAACCTCGGTCTCCCTAATTTGTGATTCCTCTGACGCTGGCAATATGTTAGTATCGGGTTTGGTGTCTATTTTCTTTCAACGCAAGCTCAAAGATGGACTTAAACTTTCCGAAAAAGCTCTTCTGTTTGCTGGATTTAAGCATATTAGACAGTTGTCTAAGCATTTGGATTCCTTCTGCATTTAGGATTTTTAAATATTTTCTGCTCTAATGCCAGAGGATATTGATATTGAATGAAACATGTATTAAAAGATTCTGAGTCTCTATTCTGAGACTCAAATTCCCAGAAATCCATTTTTTATTAAAATTATACTTGTTCTTAAGCACTTGGCAGCCTTAAAGCGATATCAAATCTGCAATAAATCTGTATATCTCGATCCTCAGGTTAACGCTTTACTGTGACAAAAGATATGATCTGTAATAATCTAGCAAAAAACAGTTAATGACAGACTTAAGAGCTAAGAATTAGATAACCCATTGCTATTTCAGAAAGAAAAAAAAAAGAAACACAACACTGAACTGACCAATTGCTTAATTTCCTTTTTAAGTGCTTGGGCTGAAAAGCAACTGTTCTTCCAAGAAAGCACTAGCTGTTTCCAGGATACTTACACACGCACAATGACTCATGATGAAATAGATTCAGTAAACATACAGCTGTACCGAACACGAGCTAAGCCCCATTCAAGGCCAGGAAAGAAAACGAGCACAAATAAATATTAAGGAGGTAAAGGGAGGAGGGGTGCCGAATGGAACGCAAACAAGCTCTGTCCCAGAAGCTCGTGTGGCTTGCCTCAATTCTCTTAGCTATAGCTTTGTGAAGACAGATGACATTCAATTCTATGGGTAATGCAAAATAGACAATAACTGCTGAAACTTGAGCCAGCTGCCAGGTGTAAAAAAAAAAAAAGAAGAGGAAGAAAAAAAAAAAGGAGAGAAAGAAAAGATGATAAATCCATAAATTAATGAAAGACATCTGCTCGGGAACATAAAAGATCAGAGGAACAGTGTACTGCAGCTGAACCTAAAGCAGTGCTCAAACAACCTGAGAGTCTCAGCGCCGCGCGTTTACGCAGCGCAACGGAGCCTCACCTCACGCAGCAGCCAAAAGGCAACACGCTAGGAAATGGGGAGCGACAGACTGGGAGCAGAACATCCACACGCTCCTGCGTGCTTGAGGTGGAGAAGCAGAGGTGGCATTGCACAGCTTTTCGTTCATTTGTGCTTCCACCCTCCCAGGTAACGCTCCTCTTTTGCAAAAATATTTGTCAGCGATGATCTTTCAGTCCTGTTCCTCTCAGGCTGAGCTCCCACAAATGCTCCAACAGGCTCTTCTAGCCCACATACGGATGGAGCTGAAGGAAAAGAGGTAAGAACAGGCTGCATCGCTTTAAAAACCCTGCGCTAGCAAAGCCAAGCTGCTCCTTAAGTTACACCTCACGCGCTTTTCATCAGCAAAGCTCCAAGTAGCTGTACCTCAGAGCATCTTCGAGACCCTTCGAAGAAGGGGCTGGCTGGAAAGCGTTCACTCGTCACCCAGGTTTTATCAACAGCACCGAGTTACCCAGCCTGCTGTACAATCACTCATTTTTTTTTAAAGTTTAATTAGTTTAATTCTAGTCAGATGTAATAACTCCTCATTTCAAAATGTTGTAATTCACTAATTATAGCTTTCACATATTGGGACTGTGAAACTCATTCCAGTTGGATTGGAATTCTGTTTAAAAATAAAAAAATTGCAGAAAGTTTCAGTTTTAAAGCCCGCCCGCCAGGGAGAGCACGCTGAACTTCTTCACCTTTACAGATGTCTTCACAGCACACAAACTACTGTTGTGCTTCAATTTTGATCTATGCAAATGTTTCGGGACTGAACAAGGCTATTTTTCTTGAGATGCAAAGAGGATGCGTGACAAAGGAAGACCAGGCAGAAAAACAATTCGCTGTCTGTTTCTTTTGGAATTTGAATAAAACTTAATATTTGATTAAACAGATTAGTTTGCAAAGATACAGACTGCGTTCACGACCAAGATGGGAATTCAAGCTGCAGGTGCATCTTATCTTGTTCAGCAACATATGCAAACATTAACCATTTCCTTCTGCAATTCAGCAAAGAATGATCAGATACATTTTACAGGCGTTGGGTTAAAAAAAAAAAAAGAAGAAGAAAACACAAAAAGGCCAAAACCCAGGCTGGTTCAGTGTTTTAGCCGTCTACTAAGCCCTGGACTTGGCTGTATCTGCTAGCCCTATGTTCTCATCCTGGCTGTATTGTCCAGGAAAACAGATGTTGCTTTCTGCAGGGAAGAAAGATCTGCTTCTCTCAAGAAACATATTCCTTATACATGCACATTCACCCATGTAAAATAAAAGTGCCACAACAGAATCGACCACAAACCCACCAACCTCCACGCTGCGCCTTTCCCTGGGAGCTGCAAGCTACCTGGACAAATGAGCCGCTGCTAGAAAAAGCCATCCATCCCCACTGCTGAGCTGCGTGCCAGGGTAGACGTCGGGTAGAAGCGCTACTGAACTGCTCTGTTTGCCCCAACAGCTCTGTGTCTAAACCCAGATCAAACCGCAGCCTGTGAGAGCCTGTGAGGTGGGAAAGCCGGAGCGCTACCGCGATGGCAGGGGAAGAAGTGAGGCAAGGGGGAAGGAAGGGAGCCGCTCCACTCAGCGTTTCCCCTGGCTAAGCCTGGGAGCAGTGGGGGACTCTCACACCCCTGGCTCAGCAGCAGCAACAAGCTCCCTTAGCGACCGCCCTGAGACAGAGCAGGGGAAAGGGGCAGAAACAGCAGAGGTGTGGGGGGAGATGTTCCACGGGTGGAGAGGGTCACGGGCAGCCCCCGACACACATTTGGCCATTTCTGCCTCTGCTCACGCCTCTCCCAGGATGGGAGAACTACTTTTACACAAAAACAATTAGTATGCTGCTGTACTGTTTGGTAGAAATGACTTAATTGCTCTGGCCTGAGCCTTGCCCTCGGCTGCCACTCGGGCTGACCTCAGGACGGCTTCCCAAGCATCGCAGCTTGCATTTCAATATGCGGGGAAGACTCTCCGTTTGGACCTTCAAAAGTAACTGGCAGTAACTGCAAGTGATGCTGGATTTAGACTGACCCCTCTGTCTTGCCCTACAGTGTATATTGGTGAAGATTTCCCTGCCACCCATGCAGCAGAGAGATCCTCTTTCGGGAAGGAGGTCCCTCCAAAGTCACGTCCACTATCAGCTGACTCTCGAAAGCACTGAGAGCTAAGGAAGGGGCATTCAAACTGGCTACACTTGCCCCTTCAGAAATGGAACTGTTCATACGGGTCAGACAGCAGCAATTCCTGACTTGGACTTGACCAGAGTTAGACCGAAGACTGGGGGTGATGGACTCTGGACCTACTGCACCTGCCTTCGCCCCAGCGGCGCACAGGGCCATGGGAGGGGTGGGAAGTCCAGACAACCAGCGGGTCTCAAGCCCTGCCAGCACCCTCCTGAGGGTTCAAAGCGTCCACCTAAAATGCGGAGAAATCTATCTAACGCCACCAGCGTGATTGGTCACCTAGAAGGTACGCAGTGATGGGGCACAGCCTTGGACATCCACCTTCACAGGGCACCCCTGGGAAGGGGACAAGTTCCCTGGCATCGCTACCATTACTGGGGGGGGGGCGGGGGGGGGGGATGCTCAGTTGCAATTACTTTCATCAGCTGGGCAACGCAACTACCTGCATCTAAGGCTCTGTGCTTGCGCTGTTGCCTTCTGCTGGGGTCTTGGAGCTGGGATAAAATGTCAACCTACCCTTCGTTCAAAATCTTCAATTACTTAGTTTAAATAAAACTAACACATTTATTTTGTTCACTTTAAATACGACTGTACTTGGAGGAAAAATCTTTTGACCAAAAAGCACGTTGGGGGAAAAGACACATGGAGTGGGAGGTGTTACCGCTAAAAAAGAAAAAAAGAAAAAACTCCAAAACACCCAAGAAAACTGTTAACCTACTACTAGTTTCCAGGAGAAAAAAAAAAAAAAAAAGATCATGACTGTGTCTGGATATGCCTAAATAAAGGCAGAGATGTATTTCTTCCCCTAACTAAAGCCTGCTATTGAGCTGAAATGAGGCGCTTTTTTTAATAATCTTTTTTTTTTCCAAGCAGGGGAAGTGTCCTGTAAATTTAATACAGCTGAAGTTTTATATTTAATTGTTCTCTCTAGCTTTCCAAAATAATTTGCTTTGTGTATGTTAGGACAAAAGATTTCTGTGTATGGCTGAACAGAGGTTAATCATGCATAGCAGGCAGCTGCACAAGGGCTGAGGAACAGACCTCTGGGTGGGGGAAAGAACTTGATGCAGCCGGAATATATCAGTACCTGTGTCTTTTGTGCTTCGTGGCCCTGACGTGCTTGAGAGCCGAAGGCCCACGACGACCGCACCGT